ATCTTCAAACTTTGCAGTAGTTAAAACCTATTTGTTAAAAGTTTCTTAAGATCAGTAAATCTTTTTTTTGCTCAAACATTTCCATAAATTTATGTTTCTTTTTTAAGTAATTGATGGTTTCTTTGCTTTTGCAGGGATTTGCATACATACCAAGAGGGGAGTTAGTCTCCATCATTTTGAATGAATACCGAAGTCAGCTTTCAAAAGCTCTTGTTGTAAGCTGATCATGTTTTCTTTTAATCATTTAAATCATATTGAAAAAGCTCTTTCTGCTATAGATATTAAGACAAAGACTTGTTTCAGTTGAAGCCCTAGAATTACAGCTCCGTTCTCTGTTTTCATAGGTAGCTAAACTGTAATCAATATTTTTTAAAATTGTTTCCAGTTTCTTTTGTGTTCAACTTGATTAGTCTATCAGTTGGGTGAATTTAATTTCTATTTTGACCATTTTAACTGTTAACTGTTTGACTCAATTTGTAGATAACTAGCCGACAGCTGCCGTATTTACAAGAAAATGAAAGACTGCTGCCAATGTTAAAAAATCTAAGGTAAAATCTCCTTCTTCTTGCTTTTATCCTCTTAGTTAAAGGCTTCAATATTCAACCATGTTGAAGTTATCAATTCTATCTGTTTTTCCTCTGCTCTTATTCCTCTCCTTCTCCTTCATAATCTCAAACTTTTTCTCCTTTTTCTCATTTTCTTCTCCTTCTCCTTCTCTCCTCTTTCTCCTTCTCTCCTCCTTCTCCTTCTCCTACTTCCTTCTTCTCCTTCTTCTACTTCCTTCTTTTCCTTCTCCTTCTCTTCTCCTTCCTCCTCTTCTACCTCCTTCTTCTCCTGCTTCTACTTTTTCATCTTGGAGACATTCTCTTGTCAATACCCAAACAACAAGTGAATAGTCACTTTCAACATGTTTTTAAATATCATAAGAAGTAAGAAAGCTTCATATTTTGACCATCACTTTATTTTCATCATATATTTAGGATCAATCATCCTTTTTTATTACATTCAGTTTACAACATTCTCTTTATCTCCTTCATTCACTAACCTTTATTCTTTCACTAAATATCTGCACCATACCTTACTATCTCCCTGCTTGGGTGGGCGTTTTTAGTTTCCCATGATATTATTCGAATTCGGTGGAGGCCGCAGTTGCCTCCAAATCCCCCATAATTCCCGTCTTTGGCACAAAAGTGAATAACTTTGTAGTGGCCAGGTTAAGAATTTAACTGTTCTCGTGTTAAATCCTCCTTGGCATTTTGTTCCCCCACAATTAAGTGTGTTCAATTTCTGCAAATGAAATAACAATCATTTAATAGAAGTGAAACTTTCTTTTTGAAACAAGTATATTTGTTACAGCACTGCATATATTGGCGATTCCTACACAACACGCAATCCTACAAATGGTGATAAAGTCACGCTGGATCAACTTGATTCGGTAAGAGTTCCTCGCATTCTTCTGACTGGCCTATGCCTTGTTATCATTTAAAGCAGCATTTTGCTTTCAACCCAAGCAGTTGACTTCATAACAGAAAATGTGCACAGTTTATTGCCTTTCAGGCTTTGCAGCTATACGGAAGAAAACGCTTTAAAATGACTTGGAAGATTAACTTCGATAATGCATTGACACTACTAGCCATTTTATTTTATTTTTAGCTTGCCAAGATTTCATACCCATTATGCATGCGACAACTGCATGAAACTTTGAGGCAGCAGCATCATCTAAGGCACTTTGCAAGATTGCAGTTCGGATTGTTCCTGAAGGTATGTCGTTTGAATAAACCTAAAAGGTTTGCTCATCAAAGTAGTTGCATGAAGAGGTGGTATTCAACATCACGCGTTGCTGTTTAGTGCTAAAAGACTATTGGTATACTTGCTTTTGAGTTCTTGGAAGAAACTTGGAGCTCTTACTGAGAAAGTAACAAGGGAAAGATGAAACACACGAAGTATTATCTCTTCCTTCATATATCTTATGTTTAGGCATTTCTAATGAGATATCTGGCATTGTCTTGTGTCAACAAGTTGATTGATGTCAGCTCTAATGGAATAGTGCAAAATCCTTGACTGATTTGACAACTAGGGTCAGAAAGCTGAGCCCTGTATTTTTTGACATGCTTAATTTAAGAAAAAAGTGTTTACAGCGGTAAGTACTCCCGAAGTAACTCACGCATCTTCTTGGTCACACCCTCTTCCTTCGTTACATACACCTGATTAAAGCGGAGCAAATCGACTTCTGAACGTGCCAATCGACTTATGATCACAGCAGACCATCCTTTACTATCTTTTACTGTTCTGAACTATACTTATCTAATCTAATTTCGAAACATTTTAAATAGGAATACATGCCCTGCTACTTTTTGCGAAATTTTTTTCCAACATGTAACTAGCATTTATACAAGACTTCTCGTTTCCATTTGTTAAAATCATTTTCAAATCCTTTTTCGGATATTATCTGAGCTTAAAGCAAGAATGCTGAAATGGAAAAAGAATCTGTTCCCAATTTTTTATCTATCAAATGTCTGTTGCTTTAAGGGCATTGGTTTAACTCTGGAAGAAGCGTTAATATTTTGGCGGACAGAGTTTACAAAAGTGATGGATGTTGATAAGGTACGCATTTTCTGTTTTTTAAGAATGCCTTGCATTTTTTAAGCGACGATATTCAAATTATAGCCACGTTTATCGAGCATATTAACTCAGGGCAGGACATTCATACAGCCCATCCTACTCTCTCCGTGCTTCAATGACGCTTATAACCTAATACTAAAATCATTGAACTTGATATCTTACCTCGCTCTCTCCCCCCCCCCCTCTTTTACCTTTTTATGGGTTTTCCATAAGCTCACGTTGGCTATATTAGTTTTAGTCTTTCCCTAACATAACCAACTAAAAAGAGCTGTTACTCCTTTAAGTAGAGAGCCGCTACATCTGCGTAGAATTTGCTAAATTAAAGACTGGATGGTTAGGTTTATAGCTCAAGTTCCCTTACTTGTCAACGGCCAATTGATGGAAGTCCATGGTTTAAGAAAGATTGAGCGATATGACTAGCCTCTGGCCAACTACTATCTATAAACCAAATCATTTGGTCTCAACTCGGAGGAAAGAATTTAACCAAACAGGATTGGCTTTTTTGTTGCAAAACTTAATGTCCTAGCAAAGCTCATAATCCCTTGAGTTGGTCTGGCGCGGCCCAAGCAACACACATGATGGGCGTTAAATCCTATTACAAGCGATCATATTGATGATGTAATTATGTTTTCGAACATCTAGGGAACACTATAAGTGTAGTTCAAGCGGTATACATTGTTTGCAGAAGGGTAATTAAAGTTTCAAACCCCAACTTCAATGAGCAAAGCACGAGTTAAACATTGAGGCATTTGTCTTGTTAAACATCCCAAATTTTTGAGTCTGATGCGTTCTGTGTCAAGCTTTCTATAGAAAATAATCAGAATTAAACCATTTAAATAATCCTTTCATTGATTCATTCTATTGGGACAGTACCCATACCTTTTCTGATAGAGAATTGTGCCTTCTAGCCGTATTTTACTGTTTTAATCGAGTAGTTAATTTAATCGTATGGATTTTCAGCTGTCATTTTACAAGTTATTTTTACAGTAATCGCTCATTGTTACTGGTACATTGTTAACCATTTAGCTATTTCTGGCTGAGCTTGCTATTGAAACCTCTGTATGACCTTTTGACATGCTTAGACCCTAAAAATCCTCAGCTAGGTCAGCATGCCCTCAAATCATAAAGAGCTACAAAAATGATAAATCATACACGTGAATAGTGAAAGATCTCTTTATACGACCCAAGTCTGGAGACAGACTATGTACAAACACAAGTCTGGAGACTGTGGAAGCCTCGCAATTGATGTGCCCTCTCTCTGGATATCGATGTTATAGTTTTTTGGAATATTTTCTGAAGCAACAAGGTTTCTTCTTTTTTTCCTCAAGACTTCTTTACTTTATAGAGTAGGGTTTTTTTGTTCAGGGGCGTTTCACTTGATTTGCTTGCTATTCATTTAGGTATAGGTATTGATTTAGGTATTAATGATTTTGGTATTAATATCATTTAGGTATTAATGCCCTTAGGTTTTGCTCTATCTTTCCTTTCTTCTATTCTACCTGGTTTTAAATGCATAATATTTACTCCATAGTCTTAAAAATATCATCCTGATACTTTGCTCATTTCATAAATTTCAAAGGAAGCTGGCTAACCTTTGTCTAATCGTAATCGGATCTTTTTAATCGAACTTTTCAATACACAAAGTCCAATATATTCCGAAAAGTTCGGGAAGACTGAGAGGTGAGATAAAGATGAAGAGGTAAAGATGGTTATAGAATTCGGATGTAAGCATGTTCAAATGCTATCCAACCTGCCAGCTCATGGGCTGGGAGATGGGATAATTTTTCTCATATTAACATGCATACTGGCACGTGATCAGTTGACCTTGATCGTTACTGCATAAAAACAATAACTGATCAGTTCTACTTTCACACTTCGTGGTCATGCTTCGTTTTCAACGGCCGTTTACATCAGCTTTTTTGATTAGATAATTGTTTTTTTCAAATTAAAATTTTCCTGATAAGATTATGTTTTCTCGTAGTTTGATAAACAGTACGCGTACAATATACGTCACAGTTTTGGAAAAGAAGGAAAACGAGCTTCATATACCCCTTACAGGTAGGACTTTAAGCGAGCAAAGAGTATATTGTAACGGAATAAGTTAAGTCAGTTGAATTATGCCAGATGTTCAGCCATGTAAGAAGAAGCCTGCAGAAGGACGAGGGGCCATAGGTGTACGTGGTTAGAGACCAAGTTGTGGACACAGCTGCTCAATTTGTAGAGCGTGGATTTAAAAGGAACGTTTTGCCAGCATGCCACATGGCTATTGAATTAGCACCCCTTCAAAAGAATCAAAAATTGCAGAATCTAAAAGCATGGGTAGGGAGACAACATTGGCTAGAAAATACCGTTGCTCATTATATATCTATGGTCTAAAATGGGAATTTCACGATGCGATAAGAATTTCGTCATAGAATTAGAAACGGTGGGGATTGGGTCAAACTTTGTTTCATTATATCTTGGATTGTGTAACACGGTCTATAAGTTCAGTGCTATCAATTGAACAAAAAGAGTTTGAATCTTTTTCAAAATTTAGAAATGTTTTTGCTTTCAAGCATTATCAAACTCAGTTGCTACAGGCCAATACCCCCCTGATTCTATTTCGAGAAATGTTGTCCCTTATCAATAAATATTGCCCCATGTTCAAAAGCTGTGATATTGTGTATATTCCTAGCTGCTGCTTCCTAAATTCATGACGTTTTCAATCTATTGATTTAGATGTAAGCTAAAGTGGAGTTTTAAGCTACATTTATATCAAATTTTGTGCAATAAATCAATTGATTTTAATTTGATGTTTTTGAGATGTCAATGTTTTGCTATTGTAGCTGTATGAAAGTCATCACTGGTAATCAGCCGGGACCTGGTGACTCTCACGGTGTGTTTCTTTGAATTGCTCCCTTTTTTACCATCATAAACTTTAAACTGCACTTCTAACGTAATCAGGTATCTATGTTCAACGAAGGCCCGTTGAAGTCACCCAGTCTTTTCAAACGTTTACATACGAATTGATTCAAAGCACCTCGATAAAGTTAAGATGTTTTAAGTACAAATCTGTAGCACATACCAACAAAGGTAAAGAATGTATTGAAATCGATGGCCAAAGCTGAAAGTTCATCGTAACGTGTATTGCAATATTATAGACAGTGGCGACCGCCCCCCCCCCCAATACTTTAGAGGACAATGGTCTTTTGTTCTAGAACAATGGGACATGTGACGTCATCTTATTAAAACAATAGGCTTGCCCCCCAATATTTGATCAAGTGTCCGCCCCTGATTATAGACCCATTATAGACAAGACCTAAATAAATATTTTATCTTTCAATGTATCCTGTAACATTTTGCATAAAACATTAATATTTAGATCTTGTGGACATTTTCTGCTTTAACTTTAGTTATTTTATAAGTGTGTTTCGTTTGTTTTGATGTTTTGATCAAGGTGAAACTTTTAATTTTAGGTTGCCCTTTCAAACATAGCGATCCTGAGATTTTAGCGAAAAAGTTACAAATGTACAAAGTATCCAAAGATGGTATTGATGAGGCAAGTGTAGTGTTCTCAAATGTTTTTATCTACTGTGCTGCTGATCCAGTCATAAATTCCCGTTTTATGAATTGAGATACCTTACTAGCAGATCTTTTTCTGAAAATATAACGAGAGTCATCGACATTACACAGACTGACTGGTTCAAGAGTGACGTCATTTGGTTTCCGTCAAAGAGTGAGCAACCTAGTTAGCAATCCCATTTCATTTCATGCTAGACCACAGAAAGTAAATTTAATAAATTTCATAGCACGCTCTTCAACGAGGAAATCCTGTTATTTCTTCTTATCGTGAAAATATTCCGGGTTTAAGAAAAGTTTCAAGATAACAACGTAATTCCACGAGGGTATTTTATAACGAGGTGAGCCGCTCAATTTAACCTGGTTGGAAGTTTGTCAACTTCACCTGGTCGTTGCGTATATAAAATATCCATTTTTTTGCTCCCATGCAAAAACTGAAATTTTTAACCCCTAGAAATTCAGAAAAATTTGAAAGCACGAGATACTTAATCGAAATGCTCAACCAAAAAACAGATGCCAAAAATTTTGTGCCCGTGGCCCTTGGCTCTCAGTTGTTGATGGAGAGCAAAGTTAATGTCCTTAAAGACAGTCGAAAGGTACTAAAAAGGCTTAACCCATCTGCCAATCAATAAGAGTGCAAGTGGTATCAAGCTCACTCATTGGGCAATTGTTGATTGACAGCTGGCTTAAAAGCAATCTGTCTCGTTGTGGATTGATTAACGAGAACATTAACGAGAAAAATAGCCTAAACACAATTCCAGCGCTCCGCCATATTTTTTACAATGCGATAAATTAAAAGGGGACTGGAAACAATAAATAATCCCTTTGTTCCTATAATCAATCAACGTCGTGACAAATTGCCTTTAAGCCATTTCAGCATCCTTCGATTGCCTTTAAATCATATCCTTGCCGACGCTTGATACTGAGGCTTGAGATTTGTTCAAAGGGAGGCGATATTGCTGTCATGAAGCTTAAAAAAACCTAAGATCAATTACACTATCCTTCAATTCGTTCTGCATTTTCTACGATGTCTTCACGATGCAAGTTGAGAAGATATCAGTCCAATCGATGAATTTTATCAGATGTCCGACTCAGAAATCAAAATTTCGCTCTAGGAATGCGCCTTACAATATGTTTTATAATTAATACTTTCTTCTTCCCTGCTATGTTAAAAGCTTCTAATCTCCTTCGTGCTCAACAGTTGAGCAGCGATCTAACAAAGAACCTCAACTGAAAACGTGTTGTAAACCAATGTAAGGCTGAAATCTGTTCGCAATGATCGAGATCTCAAAACACCTGTGAACTTGTGGAATGTAAATAAACAAATTTTCACTGTGCCTCGCAGGATGGTTTGAGCCAATTGAACTGACATCTAAGTAGCACGTGATAGATCTGATCCAATAGGATTTATTCTAGTACAAGCTTTTCAAAATATATTTGAGATTTTGTACTTTAAAAAGAGGTTAACATATGCCTGGCACCGTTGGTGCTGATATTTTCCTAAAAATTAAATCATTTAAACCTAACCTTGGATTTCTCAATCAGTGATTAATTTAGATTGTCATATTTTTCCTTGGTCTAAAAGGTAATTTAGGCGTTCTTAGGCTGTGTAGCTTTCAGGCAGCTACCTGATACCCTTGCTAGATCCGAGTGGCTATTCTGTCCTTCGTTAATTGCCAATTCAAGAGATCTTGAAATATTAAATGACAGTAAACGTAGGCATAATTTCTTTTTTACATTTCATTGAATTATTTTTTTCCTGATTTCCATAGTTTATCGTAATAATTAAAGATTAGTTCCTTGAAACGGGTTATATAAGGGTTATATATCTCTTTCTTACCCTACTCTGTTAATTAACTCTGCTTTGAAACTAATCATTGATTTAGCTTAGTGCCCATCTTACCTATAAACCTTTACTGAAACATATACATCGTACTTGCACGTGCTTACTATGTGATATCATTTTTTAGATTATAAATTTGGTTAAGGGACAGCACTATCAAGTTGCGTGCGTGAAATACTTCGAGATTTCTCATAAGGTAATCAATATCTTTTTGAACACACTTAGCAATTATTATCATTATTTATAGCAAGATTTATTTTCAGTGTAAGATGCTTGAGTTCTATACAATCAAAGATTGGCCCATTTCGATCCACAACTGGTATATATTATCCATCGTGTTATTTTGGACCCTTATTCTGACGTTTTGCACTCTGAGGAGTGTCAGACGAAAAAGCTTTAAGTAGTATGTTGTGAAATGTTTGCTTATTTCAAAACCATTTTTAAATATAAATTTTCATGAATATTGACGCTCACAAAAGCTATTAAAAGTATCCTTATAAAAAGGTGTGTATTTCGAATCCTCCTTTGCAGCGATGACATCTATTAGTGATTTGTCAAGCTCATTGAGAAGGCAATATTATATTATCTTGTAGGTTTCAGAGGGATCGCATATGAGCATCAACCATCCAAATGGTTACTTTGACGAAAGTGTCAAGGTCTTGAAAAATATCAAAACTGGAGAGAAAAATGAAATTCAGACAAGGTTAGTTGAAATTAGGTTCAGATTATAACATTGATATTTTCATGAATAATTGTATCTTTCTATTTTCATTTGTGTTAATTCGAACCAAATGCTGAACAAAGGAGAAATTAAAGAGCAGGAGAAAAATTAAGGAAACAGAGGAAAAATTCAAAGCATTATAAAGTCTAAAACAGTTTTTCAATTTTTTTGCAGAAGGGAGACGTTTAGCAAATCCAGCCTCTGTACCCAATTTAGAGACTGAAAAATAATTGAAGGCGCCGTATTTTTCCCATGCGCAGATCAAGATTGTAAAATGGAAGTAATTTTATTGAAACGGTGTCAATATTGTATTAAAAATGTTAATTATAAAATCCAATCTTAACAATTTACAAGTAATCCCACCAAACCAAGTCCGATCTATGGGAATTTCCATCACTTAAACACCTTGTTTGATTTTCCGCTTCTTAAATAAACAAAATACCCTGCCTTTTGCCTCATTGAAAAGCTGCCATGGGGAGAGCTAGAACCCAAACGTAGTTACCAATTTTGTCATAATATTGTACCACATGGAAATAAGAGCAAAGAAAATTGTAATAACTTACAAGGCATCTGTTCATAAAAACATATTTATTCATGTTCCCATTCATAAGGCTAAACAAAAGAAAATGAAGATAAAATCTAAACTCTACACTACGAGAGGGGTGAAATGGTGTTAATGGATTCACATTTAAGATTGAATGTTTGTTTACGTAATCGGTCTACGAACAACAAGAAGATATAACTAGTAATTAATATAATGGGTAAAATTTAACAAAACAGCAAAACAAACAAAAATTATAACAATAGATTCCGTCTCCTTTACAGGAAGTGACATACATTTTTTTAATGCTTGAAGAAGTTGTTTTTTCTTAACAAACTTCGAAGCTACCAACCTAGTCTTGAAATGCCATAGCACCTATGGCTAAGAGATTCCAAGGCAACTGTTACGAAGCACAAAAAGAAGACGTTTAGAAAGTTTTGTGCAAGGGATTTCAGAAATTAAACAAACTTCCTACCCTGGTCAAAACTTTTACTTTCTGTAGAAAGCTTACACGTTTTTCGTGTTTTTCCTATTTTCTAAGAATTAAAAACTTTAAAAACGAATATTCGAACAATTAAAGTTCGGACAATAAAAGTTTCGGACAATATTTCATTGCATAAAAAATCATGTTGTGATTCACAATGCATTCTGATGACACTGTGTAGCTTCTGAGGTCGCAGCTTCGGTTTTGATGTACCTTCTAAAAACGTGTACAAACCAGGCATCCTTTATGTTGCAGGGCTACCCCTTCCTACACAGTTCAACGAGAGTGGACAGCAAACGGACAGAGTAAACCAACGCCAACGCAAGTAAAACCTGAGCCAACAACGATTGATGATGATGCGGACTTGTTGAATGATGATTTTGATATGGAAGGTCTCGATGACATGTGAAACAAAAACCTTGTTCCAAAGGTACTTTTAAATATACTTCTGTATACTGTAATCTATCAAGAAACTCCAATGCCTATGTATTTGTTTATTGATTCTGAATCCGTGTGGTTTTTGATTCACCCTCGATAGATTCAGTGACATAGATTGCCTTCAGATGTAATAGGCCAAGATGGATCTTTAAAATTCTGAGACAAATTGTTTTTTGTAGGTATATATATACTTCAAACAACATCAGTGTAACACCTACAGAATCGGTGTACATGAATGTAACTTACTATTTTAAATTGTACTTGATAGACAAAAGTTGATAAAACCATAGATAGATTTATCGACATGAAGCGAGTATTTCCTTACAGACTTTTTTTCACCAGCGTCAAATCTTATCAGGTATCAGCACCCCGATCTTCGAAACCAATAAAAGTAGCTCCTCTCTAAAACGAAATAACCTTCAAAATACCTCTAGCAGTGCTTGGATCTCTCTGCCCATTTCATCTCGGAGTCATTCGTAAACACGGAGACAGAATGTTTGTATTCTATTATATTTATATGGCAACTATGAGCTCCGTTCAACAAACTACTACTTAAATGCACGTGGAAATACAGTGTAACTCGAATTCCTATTCCGTTCCTTATTTGAATAGGGATTGTCCGTTTGAAGAGGGCGTTAATATATTTTTGATCCAGAGCTTCTGCATATTGTAGGCAAATGTCGACTGTTCTGGATCTGGATTTTCTGGAGTTTTTCTGGATTTTCTGGAATGTTGAAGTCTTTTACTGTATAAAGCTGGGCCTATACATTCTGTTGTTATTTAAACTAGCAAATGGGCCCAGAGGCGAATTACAACACGCTTAATTTATAAGTAACTATATTCCTACCACCTCTTCAATGAAAATGTTACTACTTTGCTCTGAACTGTCATTCGAACTGAACACTTTATTACTAAATACAATCTGTAACGTAACGTATCTCTCACGTGTTTTTTTTTCAATTTTAAAGTCATTTTCAGATGCCTTTGCTTTTGAAAACAGTTATTTTGCTTTTTGTTTCTCGCCTCGAAGATAGGCCTGAGACTTAGGTTTAAGCCAGTTATGGTCCAACTGTCTCACTAATGGTCCATCCAGCAATATGATGGTCCGTCCAACTGGTTAGTTTGGCAAACCCTTCAATACAAATATTTCTAAATTGAAAGCTTTCCAGTAATTGAATCTTTCCCACTGTGGCCAACATTCCACATTTTTACGTCATACTTTCCCATCATCAAGCTCTTATTTGTCCATGTTAGCCGATAATAAAAAAGACTCCTCCTGAAAAATGGCTGCCTCTTTACTTAGCTCTTTGATTTCAGATCTCATTTTAATGAATTTCTTCAGCAGTACCTTGTCGGACTTTCTCAGCTCTGCGAGGTCTAATTTCAATTTTTCTAATGTCGTGTCAATGCGAGGCTTCACTGTTTCCCAGTCCTCTCTAGTGATGTTGTTGTTGTTCATATCAAAACTCCGTTTGTGCGATGAGGTTGTCATTGGTATTTTGGTAGCCAATCCTTGAACAAAGATAACACATTGAATAAAAAATATCAATACACAAGTGCTAGCAGACGTATTATAGAAGCTGGTTGTCGCTGTACGGGTATAGGATTTTCTTTAGGCAGCTAACTTTCTTTACATAAATGTGGTTGAGGGAAATGTATTTCTCCGTTCTTAAACCCAATCACCTCAACTTCAACTACTTTATTTGACACGAGCCATGCTATTAAATTGATACGTTAACAAACTCAAAAGCGTCTGTTCCATATTAAACTTATAGCTTCACTACCCCTCTAGAGCTCCTTTGGTAACTTCTAGGGCCCAGTCCCTTTTCGTTATGAAACATCTAAACTCCCTCTGTTGATACATTCTGTTTTTACATATAATGTTGATACGTTCGGTATACGAAGTAGGTGATACAACGATTGTTGGGTCCTTCTTGTTTGGCTAACATAAAGCCATAGTTTTAATTTTCATTATGATTTTAATTTTCCTCAAAATTGGCTCATGATTGGCAACAAAATTATGACGTAAATTGTGGTTCGTACCATTCACAAAGTTAAAACGAATTGATAAAAACCTAGAAGTGTTCGTGCCAAGTTCATATTTTGCGGTACCAAAAACTTAACTTTCAAATTTGAGTCTCAAAACTAGCAAGTAAAATCTTGAACGAGATCCTTTTGATAAGAGAATGTCGACTGCTTGAGGAACCTCTTTGGTTTGCTGCTTCTTTAACAGAGAAATTATACTGCTTTTTTGTTTCTGAAAAGCTTTAAGGAGTTGGCTGACCCCTACTAGAAAGATTCAGTCATTGAATGGAGATAGTTGCCTTGGTGACAAACAACTCACGGGTTTGACTTAATCTTAACTTGCCCTAGTAGCCTTGACAGGATATCTTAAGGGATCTCTCTGATAATCACTATTTTCTATTCATCGGCTGTCTCTGTCCTTAACAATATGGCTGAATGTGTTATTCAAGAACTCTTATGTTAGTATGTTTCTTTCGAGATGTTGAGTGGCCGCTCTTAAAGCTAAGAGACCAGTCACCCTATCTTCTTACCCGGATTATCGTCTGACAAACTATTCCCAAATAATTTTGTGCGAGAAAATATTCCCTTAGCTAAAAAAGTTTTGTACTTTGTTCACTATAAGCGTCAAATGATACAGAATAGAAACCCTAAAGTTGGACTGAAAAAAACATGATTCTCGGATAGTAGGTTCTGATTGGCTCTAAGTATAGGGTGATAAGCTCGCGCCTTTTAAAGTTTCCATTCGCAATACATTATCGTTTTGCTTTTCAAGCCACAAATGTCTAAAGCACCTTCAACTGGGACGCCGAATATATTTTGAAGTGGGGAGAGAGGGATTGCTTTAGGTGCCACCATCATACTCATTGATGCTACAACCTTTGATTGTACTGATAGTGTTACACTGACGTCGGAACGAAATTCATAGTGGAGGGAGGAGGGCTGCCCATAGTATTCCTTCTCGTTAAGTGCACTCTGTTATATAGGAAATATACTACAGTTTGACAATTATTGGGGGGCTCCAGCTCCCCCAGTTCCGCTCGTTTTGACGGCCCTGGATTAAACTGCCGATTTTCAGTGTTAAGCATTTCTGCTGCCTCTATTTGCCTTGATCTCTTGCAGGTATTCGATAATTTTTACGAGGCGTATCCCGTAGCAGCTACAAGCTTGAGACTTGGTATAGATAGATAAGTATCCTCTCCCAGGGGTGTGGTGGCCCACCGGGACTCGGGAAATTTCCCGATATGCGCCTTAAAACTTTTCATGTGGGCCCTTTGTAATACAGATTTGTGAGAGGTGAAGTAAAGCTCCACACTGCCTCCGTGACATTCGTTTCAAACATATTATATGTAAAGACAACAAGAAGCAATCAGCATCAAAATGGTGTGCCCCTTAAAATTTGATTTTCCCGGCCCATAAAAATTCCCACCATACCCTCTTTCTTCTCCTGTTTATCAATTTTTATAATTTTATTAAAGGAGCAAAGAGTTTGTCGCTGTAAGATCAAAGTACAAAATTTTTCGTTATCTTGTTTGCATATTTAGCCTTTAAGATGAAAAAGTGTGTCGCTTGTATACATCCCTAATCATACAAATATCCTTTATTAGAACTTACAAAGAATTAAACAAACAAACTCATCATTGACAAAAGATTTAGATTTCTGCCTTGTCTAAATATACTTTTCAGCTGATATTCATCTGTGCAATGACATTTAAAGCATAACGTTTAAAGTATATCATGTTTGTTTACTTTTTAATCATAAAAAATTCATCCTTTTGCTCTACATTTAAAAACGACAGTCCATCAGACATATAAAATTTGTCGCTTGTATTCATGGTGAAAATAAACATATCGTCATGAACTTTGGTCTTTGTCACATGTTTCGTCGTTTTCTGGAAGATGCTTTGGAGTTGATTGTTAGACAAAAATTGACTTTGAAGATATGATAGGCGCCATGTGGCTGTTTGGTTGGTTTTTGAAGATTACTTCTATGCGCTGGAGTTAACAGAGAATGATATTGCTCGTTGTAAATAATACAAGGCTTTGAAACAAGAACAAATTTCACAAGAGCAAACATTTATTCGTGTGAATGAAGAAAAGGCCACTGTATCAGGCTGTTCGACGGGCTCCAGGGAGTTCTTGCGGCGAAAAGTAGATAAAAATGTAGCAAATATGAAACACCGCAATACGCCGAGAATGAACAACAATAAAAACACGTAAATCAGTAAAGGCTAAAAATAAACATTTATTCGTCCATTTTTCAGGGATTTCAATTAACGGGAGGTCTCCATTTAATTCTAGAGGTTAGAGAGTGTGGGCCAGAAAGAGAGGGGGCCTTGTTAGAGATATTTTGGCAACCACGTTTTGAATTGAACGCATAACACCAGAAATAAGAAATATTACACACGCTCCTCTTGCCCTGTTTTATTTTCAAGATATAAAAGGGGCTTGATATAGAAAGGGGAAATAGAATTTTTACGAAACACAGGATCAATGGGCAATTGCCCCCTCCTTCTTCCCCAATTCGAAATTAAACGGATAATTCATCTCTAAATCTCGATTCCCGCCACAGCGCCTGATGGCTAGATTTATGTCGTGACGCATAACCAAATACCATAAAACCATCATTTAGCAATTCTACTATATTTGGTCGTTTTCCTGGCAACCGTTTTCATATCTATACTGCTTATTCGAATGTTTTCATAATGGCAGTTAAACCTTAGATATCATATCTATTGTGGGCAAATGGATGAATAGCATCAGTCTTTAAAATCAGTCTTTATTTTCACCTGAAACTTTGCTGAATAATGCTGGTTACAAGATTACTTCTATAAGATAATAATGGTGATAATATGAATAGATATTTAGACCAAACTTTGCAAGATCTACAAGTTCTGGTGTTAAATGAACCCCGAACAGCCGAGGTCCTTTAGTGTCTAATTAATAATT